AACGGTGACCGATCCAACCTCATTGACAATAAGACAAAAGATTTGGTTTAAGAAATTTAAAAAAATATATATTATAAGATCTAATTCCTCACGATTTGCTCGTTTGATGATTTAAGGTTGCATCATTTTCATTTATTTTTCTATTTCCAAGTTTAAGTGGTTGGTTTTAGAATTTTTTGTTATAAAATATATCGTACTAAAAAAGTGAGTTTAATTAGAAGAAATTCAAAAATTCAAAATTTTCAGTTTCTGACAAATATAGACGAATGTTGACATATACATACATACATACATATATATATATATATATATATGTAATCTTGAGTGTGTGGGATAGCTTACAAGGATCGATTAATCTCCAGGACGACTATGAATGACTTGAATTCATCGCAGATGAACCTACATGATCTCAAAGATTTTGACAGCACCTGAATTCGAACCCAAAATAGATAGGATTTTCCACTACTACCTTTGATACTTAATCAATATACCATCACCTTATTAATTACATTTGATTTGCAATTTAAAAATATAAAAGAATTTTATTTTTAAACTTATAATATATAAATATAAATATAAATATAAATAAATATATTAATTAATATGAACACATTAGTTTAGTGTTAGTACATTCCAATTTGGCGGTCGATTGAAGTTGTATCATAATGTTTGTTTGTAACCCATTTCTTTTTATTACAAAATTAATTAATATTTTGAGTAAAGACATAATTTGTGAGGTGGGTTTGATTAGTGAAAGGTACATTTTTTTAATTTTTATGGGTTCACGTTCAATAAAATGGTATCTGTTAAGAAATTACTCTACAATATGATCTTATTTTAATACATCTATAATCTCTCGGTTCTTAGGATGGATGACGAAATCAAAACAAAGCTTCTCCTACAAGAAGAACAAGAGGACGGTGACTTGAAACAGAGGATATGGGTCGAGTCGAAAAAAATATGGAGGGTTGCATTGCCTACCATTATATCTAGAGTTTGTGCATTTGGAACCCTTGTCGTCACTCAATCATTTATTGGACATATAAGTGAGACTGATCTTGCTGGATATGCGCTTGTTCAAACGCTCAGTGTTCGATTTGTTAATGGAATACTTGTAAGTAGTCTATAATTGTTCAGTTATTATTAACAAAATAATCAATATATAGGGAGTGAGAGAGATGCAACACTAGTGGATAAATGGGGACCACTAAGTTTTTGCTTCTTTCTCCCTCTCAACCAGTACAGTAATTTACTATGAACGAGTATAATCCGTCATAAACACTTTCAGTCTAACGGGAATGGACGATTAAAGTTCCTTCTAATTTGAATTTTATCAACAGTTGGGAATGTCAAGCGCAACCGAAACCCTTTGCGGACAAGCATTTGGAGCCGGACAAAACAATATGATGGGCATTTACTTGCAACGATCATGGATCGTCGACTTGATTACTTTGACCGTCTTGCTCCCGATCTTCATCTTTGGTACCCAAATCTTCAAACTTGTTGGCGAGGAAGAACAGATAGCAAATAGTGGCGGATACRTATCGTTATGGTTCATYCCCTWCRTCTACAACTACRTCTTTAGCTTGACTATCCAAATGTTTCTACAAGCACAGTTAAAAAACATGATTATCGCATGGCTTTCGGCATTTCAATTTGCAATCCATATACCTTTATCGTTGCTTCTTGTGTATAATTTGAACATGGGGCTCACGGGTGCGATGATTGCACTCTCGTTGTCTTCATGGTTTCTTGTGATCGGCGAATTCATATACATTTTTGGAGGGTGGTGTCCACATTCATGGAAAGGATTCACACTTGCAGCATTTAACGACTTGTTACCTGTTGTCAAGCTCTCAATTTCTTCTGGTGTGATGCTATGGTAAGTATTTGACTTTTTGAGGTCAAAACTATTGGTTTTTGAACTCATAATCCATGCACTATTCTTCACGAAAACACTTAAAATGCTTCTGATTAAGGCAGTAATTTTAAATTGTTAATGTGATTATTACTAGTTTCTGAAAAATTTACAGAAACGAACGTTATTTCGAAGCTCAAAAACTGTTGTTTTGACTTGAAAAGTCAAAGTTTAGTTTAACCATTGTTGTTAATGTGTAGCTTGGAGTTATGGTACTATGCTATTCTAGTCTTACTTGCTGGATACATGCCAGATGCCAAGATCGCGATATCTGCCTTCGCCATTTGGTATCAAACTCGTGTTCCCGTTTCACCATTTCCGACTCTTTTTAGGAGAAACTAAAGCTTGTTTCTTGCGACATTTTTGCAGCTTGAACATGAATTCATGGGAGYTCATGATAAGCCTTGGTTTCCTAGGTTCSGCATGGTATGTGATCGATGATTTCTTATAGACTTYTCGCTCTCRTTTTTCGTKTTGTATWTGTGACYGCTAACMTTGTGTTCTAACTACAAAAYATAYAAAGTGTTCGGGTGGCGAATGAATTRGGGAGAGGAAATGCGAAAGCARTAAAGTTTTCGATAAAGGTGTTGCTGGGGACTTCCCTYGCGATTGGCGTGTTCTTATTTGTTCTYTGTTTGGCGTTCGGCAATAAACTTGCATACTTGTTTACAGACGACGAAAGAGTTGCAGATACAATATCAGATCTTTCTTTGCTTCTCTCTTTTTCGATTTTGTTCAATAGCATCTATCCGGTACTCTCAGGTATCTCAAAGATCTTGTTGGTTTCTATTTCGGGAAACTTTACATGGTAGTGTTCATGATTTGAAAAAATCTCGTCATTAGGAGTGGCAATTGGAGCCGGTTTGCAGGGCGTCGTAGCAATTGTTAACCTAGTTTGCTTTTACGTGATTGGTATCCCGTTGGGAGCTTTGCTTGGATATTTAACGACTCTTCAAGTTAAGGTACATAAATGCTATGTGTTTTCGACAACGGAAGCTATCATGGTCGTGATTTTCGATGATAAAAACTGTATTATTTGACAGGGTATATGGATAGGAATGATTTTTGGCGTTCTAACACAAACAATCACAATTGGTTACATAACGTGGAGAACAGATTGGGATGATCAGGTAAATTTATACAAATATGAATCAAATTATTCATATCGCTTTAGATTTCTTTATGCTTCTTAACGTATGAATGGGGATTTTGTTTGGTCTATTGTAGGTCAAGAAGGCTTCTGAACGTCTCGAAAGATTTTACTTGCATTCAAATGAAAATCCCGAGCAAATTTCTAACGGGCCATAATTGAGATAGCCAACATGGATCCGTCTGTTCATATCATTTTCATTTTTCAATTGTTATCTTCTGACGATAAGGAGACGTTTCACTATCGGACATTGATGTATTTACTACTACAAAATTTTCAAACGTCAGATTTTTATTTGCATAAATTAATACTAAAACCTTGTTTTAGTATCCTTTAAAAAACAACCTAAGGGACTGTTTAGTTGTTTTTTCATTAAGCTCTTTATAAGTAAAGTTGTCTGTATAAATTAATATGTCTGTATGGATTATGATTTATTGTTATGTGTTTATAATGTTGAATAAATTATCTGAATGAAGTAAATGACAATTTTACTCTTGCTATTTGCTTTTTCTCTCTAATAAAATTTCAAAACACTTAGATTTTTTTTTAGGCATTTCATCTAACACCTCCGATGCACTCTCCATATTTTTTAAGTTGTCAAACTCCTCAACAAGGAAGAAACAAAAACAACAAAAAATGGAGGAAACGCAAACCGTGGAGAGTAAGCACTAAGGTTGTTTGATGGCGTCGAGGCAAAACTCGACAATGTTGATATGTGGCTTACTTTGTGTTCTGCTACATCTAATAAAAAAAATGGGCATCCCCCATCATCGAAATATGTTATTTAGTATTTTGAAAATGGTGTATTTTGGAAAGATGTCATTTTAAATAGTAAACATTCTTTCTATTGGAAAATTTGTCATTTTATAACTTTCGTTTAGCTTTAGTGTTTCCTTATCGACAATATAAAATATTTGAACTATAACTCACTAGGTTTTAGACCTAATACTTCTTGTCGGCATGTGCATCAGGTCCTTGTAGGGGCGGTTCAAGAGACACTTGAGAAGAGTTGAGTGCTAGTTAAGGGTCCGTAAAGTACTTAGCTCTTTGTGGCGTCATGTGTATCTATGGAGATAGCGACTTTATTGGTTTTAGAAACACCAATCCTTCTATACCTAGTGAAAGGCTTGGTTTGTAGGTTATTGATGTAAATCGTGAAACTGCCATCTTTGAGTATTATCAATTAGAAAGGAATTTATTCTTCATTAGATGCATTATAAATTTTTATAAATTAGTTGCTCTTTTCCAGTTTTTTCGGTGTTACATTCGCGACCCCAATCCGTGCCCAAAGTAGCGTGAATCACATGTCATTCGGTCGTTTTCGTGTTTTCTTAATTATTTGGTTACTGTTCTTGTATAAACCTGACTCTATATATTAATAATGGGTCGGGTAGTACCATCTCCGACCTCACCCGCAACCTACATCGGGTATATAAATCAACCTCTGTCTTCCATGAGTTGGGGAATCCCCGCCCCCATTATGCCGGTGGATTAGAGTCGTGTCGTGATAAAACAAATCCTAATATTTGTTTGCAACCCATTTCTTTTTATTACAAAACTAAATAATGTTAATCAAAGGGGAAGTTGATTGGTTTGAGTTTGACTCTAAAGGTCAAAAGTATTTGGACGTCCCATTTTCAAATCTAAGGAGAAATAAAAATCCCCTTGTGGCCATGGAGGTTCAAATACGGTGACTCCGGGCTATCTGCAAAACACGTGATCTCCTTAAGTTTAGTTGGCTCGCATAACGGGTTGGATATCCAAAGTAAGCACATAATCTGTGAGGTGGGTTTGATTGGTGAAAATTACAAGTGATGTTTCATAAGAAAATACATTACTTTTTTATTCCTTATAGATTGACGTTCAATACGATGACGGATTGCTCGATACTCTCATCTTCTTCAATACACTTTTAGCTTACCGGTTCTTATGATGGATGAAGAAGTACAAGAGAAAGGCGACTTGAAACACAGGATATGGGCTGAATGGGAAAAGATATGGATGGTTGCATTACCTGCCGTTGTATCAAAGCTTTTTGCATTTGGAACCCTTGTTGTCACTCAGTCATTCATCGGACATATAAGTGAGGTAGATCTTGCTGGATACGCGCTTGTTCAAACGCTCACCGTTCGATTTATCAATGGAATACTTGTAAGTAAACTATAGTTTTTCGGTTGTTATTCGTAAAACATCTGATAGTGAGAGAGAAGCAACAATGGTGGTGCTCAAGAGGACCACTAAGTTTTCGCTTCTTTCTCCCCGTCATAAATGCTTTCGGTCTAACGGGAATGGACCGTTAACTTTCCTTCTAATTCGAACGTATCGACAGTTGGGAATGTCGAGTGCAACTGAAACCCTTTGCGGACAAGCGTTTGGAGCCGGACAAAACCACATGATGGGGATTTACTTGCAACGATCATGGATCATCGACTTGGTTACTTTGACCGTCTTGCTCCCGATCTTCATCTTTGGTACCCAAATCTTCAAACTTGTTGGGGAGGAAGAATCAATAGCGAAGAGTGGCGGATACATATCGTTATGGTTCATTCCTTTCGTTTACAGCTACGTCTTTGGCTTGGCTATACAAATGTACCTACAAGCACAACTAAAGAACATGATTATCGCATGGCTTTCAGCATTTCAATTCGCAATCCATATACCATTATCATGGTTTTTCGTGTATAAACTGAACATGGGGGTCGCGGGTGCGATGATTGCACTCTCGTCGTCTTCGTGGTTTCTTGTGATCAGCGAATTTGTTTACATTTTTGGAGGATGGTGTCCACATTCATGGAAAGGATTCACAGTTGCAGCATTTAAGGATCTGCTGCCTGTTGTTAAGCTCTCAATCTCTTCTGGTGTTATGCTCTGGTAAGTATATACACAAACTATGGGTCATTTACAGTTTTGAATTATTAAGGTCAAACCTAGTGGTATTCGAATTCGTAATCGATGCACAATTCGTCCCAAAAACACGAACCGTTATGGATTAACCATTGTTGGTAATGTGTAGCTTGGAGTTATGGTACTATGCTATTCTAGTCTTGCTTGCTGGCTACATGGCAGATGCCAAGATCGCGATATCCGCCTTCTCGATCTGGTAACAAACTACTCGTGTCCTTATTTCGCCATTTTCGACTCATTTTGGTAGAAACTAACGCTTGTTTCTTGCGATATGTTTGCAGCCTGAACATTTATGCATGGGAGTTCATGATAAGCCTTGGTTTCCTAGTTGCCGCATGGTACGTGGATCAATAATTTCTTAAGAATTTTTCTAACATTTTTACTGTTTGTGATTCTTATACATTTTAAAAATGTATGAAGTGTTCGGGTGGCGAATGAATTGGGGAGAGGAAACGCGAAAGCAGTAAAGTTATCGATAAAAGTGTTGTTGGGGACTTCGATGACGATTGGAGTGTTCTTCTTTGTTCTTTGTTTGGTGTTGGGTAAAAAACTTGCATACTTGTTTACGGATGATGAAAGAGTTGCAGATACAATATCGGATCTTTCTTTGTTTCTCTCTTTTTCGGTTTTGTTGAATGGTATCTATCCGGTTCTCTCAGGTATGAGGTAACTCTCTACCATGTTATTTACATTAACTTCTCACATGATCGTTTCTCTACATTTATATATATATATATATATATATATATCGGCTTAATCATTCGAGAACAAATTTAAAATTTGTATGATAGTGTTCGTGATTTGGAAAAATCATGTCACCAGGGGTAGCAATTGGAGCTGGCATGCAGAGTGTTGTAGCAATTGTTAACCTCGTTTGCTTTTATGTGATTGGTATCCCGTTAGGAGCTTTGCTCGGATTTTTGACGACCCTTGAAGTTAAGGTACATAAATATTGTTTGTTTTTCAACAACTTAAAGTTATTTTCTGGTCAGAATTCTCTATGATAAATTTGTATTATTTGACAGGGCATATGGGCCGGAATGATTTTTGGCGTTCTAACGCAAACAGTTACACTTGGTTACATAATGTGGAGAACAGACTGGGATGATCAAGTAATTTTATACAAATATGAATCAAATTATTTATATCGTTTTAGATTTCTTTTATGCTTCTTGACGGATGAATCGGAATTTTGTTTGGTCTATTTTAGGTCAAGAAGGCTTCCGAACGTCTCGAAAGATTTTACTTGCATTCAAATGAAAATCCCGAGCGAATTTCTAATGACTCATGATTGAGTTGCAATCGTAAGCCGAGATGCATACATGTCAATGCCCATAACCAACAACAATGTTGCTAAAGCCTAATGGTTTCAAATACGATTTTTAGACCACGCATGTCAAATACGATTTTTTAGAGCATGTTGTGCTAAAAACTTTCGGGAATTTATTAAGTAAGATAATCTATCTACTACCGTTTCTATGGAATCGATCGTTGGATCCCGCAAACGGGATTTTAGCAAATTAGCATATGATAATGCTATGTGGACAAACTGGATCTGAGTAACAAAATTGACTTTACAGTTTGTCAAATATGTTTAAATGTCAGACCACTTTATAACATTTAAGTATATAACACCAAACGATTGTGCATATTATATAAATGTTATAATAGGATTTTATGACGTAAATGACATCCTAGCACGTTTTTTTGGGCTTTTTGATATTAATTATCTTATTAGTTTTGTAATAGGATGTTCTTGGAGAGGTTTTGATAATAATTATTATAATGTCATATAAAAAGACTAATAGTACGTTTTATTTCAAAATGTGTCTCAAAAAGGTTGTTAGGATGCCCAAAAACGTCCTATCAATTTATTGTAACATCTTTATTTAGGATGCACAACTATTTAATCTTGTAAACTTTAGTCCTATAAAGCCGTTTGGTAAGTCATTTGTAGTGAAGTAGCAACATATGGTCAAGTTCTTGGTTCCTATTAGTTGGAAAGTTGAGTTCTTTGTCCATTGATTTTACTTATGAGTGTACAAATCAAAATCATCATCTAACATTTGTACAATCACTAACATAACCCTGAAACCAATCTTGAATAGATGATTCATTAATTCGATGTGTTTTTTGTTATAAAATAAAGCAGAAAATAGGAATACAAATAGATTAGGATGTGACTAAGGGGCCGTTTACCAAACACTTAACCGGTAAGCGCTTACCGGTAATATTCAACATTATCATTTACTTATTTGGAAAGATTTTAGTTCACGAAAACGACATTATATGCAACAATTTACTTGGTAAGCGCTTACCATGTTAAGAGTCAATCGTCCTCACTTACCGGATAACACTTTTTTCCTTGCCTTGCTCTTACCAGGTATAGATTTTTGGTCCTTATCGCATTCATCCGGTAAGGTAATGTAAGTCAGTAAGCTCTTACCCAAATAAGAGTTTGGTAAACGGCCCCAAGATCACTATCTTTAGAATAATATTAGCCTCCACTATATGCTCTTAGGTTATGGCTAATTTATTCCCAGGAACTGTTAGTGGATAAGATTTTAGATTTTAAACTCAAAAAACCGCGTACACGGATAAGAAGCCGCACTGTATATAAATAAAAAACGGATTTTGTGAAACCCGCACACGTGCAACATGCTAATGCTGTCTTTTAATCCATTAACAATTTCTATATCAACCCAAATCAAGTAGAAAATCAAGTCCAAATCCTATTTATCAAATGAGTAATAGAATAAGACTTATAAACCACTCTCATATTAGCTAATCTTCCTATGTGGGACAAAGTTTCCAACATTTTCTTCCAAAATATTTTCATGATTTTAGATTCTTTTTTATGTCATATAATTTTTTGTATGTTTTATACAATATATATTATTATAAAAAATATATGGATAATATAAAAAAAATTTATTCATTAAATTACAAAGTTAATATTAATATATTAACGGACACTATATATTAACGGACACTAAGAAATTGAAAACATTGTTTATATATCGTACATACTTTTTAAGTGACGTTTAATTTTCATATCTATACTATATTATAAAGCATTTGGCTAAAACTTTTAAAAACTCTTAAACTCTTAAACAATTTCATCCCTATCCGATTTCATCCC